AAAAAAAAAAAAGTGTACATATATTATCTTTATTGTTATTATGAAGTTAATAAATCAGATCTAAAGCTTGGATGCAGATTATTTTATTGATATAGAAATGGCATTCTAAGGCTCTGTGACAGGGTTGAAGACTGTGTCCCTTTCCACTTTAGTTTGCTATAGAAGTTGCCTTTGTTAATATGGAATGCTTCAGGGGCTGGGAAGGTGGCTCAGTGGTAGAGTGCTTGCCTTGCATGCATGAGGCCCTCATTTCGACTCCTCAGCACCACATAAGCAGAAAAAGCCAGAAGTGGCACTGTGGTAGAACACTTGTCTTGAACTGAAGAGCTCAGGGACAGTACCCAGGCCTAGAATTCAGGCCCCATCACACACACACACACACACGCACGCACGCACGCACGCACACACGCACGCATGGAAGGCTTCATAAATAAATTTATTTAACAATAAACAAGTTTAATAATAAATAAATTTAACCAGATATCACTTGAGCACACAAAACCAGATAATATTCCCAAATCACAAATGCATACGCTCTTTTTAGTACTCTTTTAGGCTTTCCCTTTCCCCCCCCACCCACTCCTCTCTTGGGGTTTGGGCACTGTCCCTGAGCTTTTGCTCATGCTCTACCACTTGAGCCACAGCTCCACTTCCCGCTTTTTGGTGGTTAACTGGAGATAAGAATTTCATAGACTTTCCTGCCAAACTGATTTCAAAACATGATTCTTAGATATCAGCCTCCAGAGTAGGTAGGATTATGGGCATGACTCTCTGAATGCAGCCAAAGGCTGAGTGTTAAGTAGCACCAAACCATGAAAGATACTGCCTCTTCCCATCAACAGCTAACATATCTTCCTTTCTGGATACTATTACCTGGACATCAGCTCTACCTTCCTGAGAAAAAGGTACATTCCCTACAATCTGTGGCACTCTGTAAAGATAGTAGAATTCCAAACTTCTGGTGAATAACTTTTATCTTAATCTTTTTTCCTGTTGTCACAGGACTACAAAGGGCTACTGCAGTTCTCTCTGCAGTACTAAGGCCTCATTTTTGGTCTGAGTCTGAGGCTGTTGTAAGCAGAGTCTTCTGCCTAAGGTTGGTTTCTCAGTTATTTAGAAAGTTTCCAAGTCAATAGGATAGACAGAGTAGATTTTTTTTTTTTTTGGTCGGTTGTGGGGCTTGAACTCTGGACCTGCGTACTGTCCCTTAGCTCTTCAGCTCTAGGCAAATACTCTACCACGTGAGCCAATAGCGCCACTTCCGGTTTTCTGAGTGGTTTATTGGATAAGTGTCTCGTAGACTTTTCCTGCCTGGGCTGGTTTTGAACCATGATCCTCAGATCTCAGCCTCCTGAGTAGCTAGGATTATAGGCATGAGCCACGGGAGCTCAGCTCAGAGTAGATATTCTTAACAGGCTCTAAGATTGGCTAGAAGCATGTTAAAAAACAAGTGACTGCCAAGTCTTGTGCATGCCTAGAATCCCAACATTTGGAAGGCTAAGGCAAATCCTGAGTTCAAGGCCAGTCTGGACTACACAGCAAGAACCTGCCTCAAAATCAAACAACAAACACAAGTGATTTGTTCTTAGGATCTCAAAGCAGTGTGATTCTTAGGACCATTACAGTGGTAAATCTTAGGTTCTGTTGTAGAAATAGTAAGGGAAAATATGGCTTTGCTAAAAGATTTTAAGGTAGGACATTCTGGGTATGTCTAGCTGCTAGTGGAAAGGATTTCAAAAAAGGGCTAGCTCAAGAACAATAATGCTCAGGGACCTCCTTTAAAAAAAATCAAGAAGAAAAAAGAAAAGACAAGAAAAAAAAAGACAACCCCCCCCCCAAAAAAAAAACAACCTCATTTTAATCCCCAGGCAGGGAAAGCCTAAGATTAACCTGAAATGTCTTGCTACAACAGAAATCAAGGAAGTGTTCATATAATGGTGACATGTCAAAGGGATACAAAAACCAGCTAGAAGGAGTTGCTACTAGCCAAATATAGGGCACTTTGAGCATGCATAAAGATAAATAAGAAAAAGAAAGAAGTGGCACTGTGGCTCAAGTGGTAGAGCACTCGCCTTGAGCTGAAGAGCGCCCAAGCCCAGAGTTCAAGCCCCACGACCAACAAAAAAAAAAGAGGAGATTTAATTCACTGAATAAAAATAGAATCACTGAGCCTATTTTGATATAAATAAATGAACTGATATAGATAAATAAACTGACAGTTCAGAGATATACATGTTTCCAGAGGCATATTTCAGGGATGTTGACTTCATCTGTTTCTCCTAAATACATTCTCTTCCCCATCATAAGGGAAGTTAAAGGGCTTCGTGGTGCAGGGGTGTGTGGGCCTCCAGTATGATAGCTTAGAGAAAGGCTGGAAGATTACATGCTGTCTTTTGCTGGTTCCATGGTGGCATGAAGCTAATTTTCACACTTCTGCCTGGCACTTTTTCTTGTCTTCTTCTATATAACAATGGGATCCCTGTGAGCTATCACTAGTACCTGAAGACTCCTTACACTAGGGCCCTGATAAAGCAGGGGATGGAGACATCCATGGCTCCTGCAGCAAAGGCAGAGACATGAATAGCATGGCTTCAAACTTTGGAAACAGCATCATATCACAGAAGCAATCTGATGTTCTTCTAGCAAAAAAAGGTGTGTCCTTTTCTGTTTATTTTTATTTTATATCTATAAAACAATCTTTAAGGGGCTGGAGTGCTTTAAGTGGTAGAGTGCTTGCCTCGCATGCATGAGTCCCTGGGTTCCATTCTTTAGCACCACATAAGCAGAAAAAGCCTGAAGTGGTGCTGTGGCTCAAGTGGTAGAGTGCTAGCCTTGAGCTGAAGAGCTGAGGGACAGCACCCAGGTCCAGAATTCAGGCCCCATGACCAACAAAAAACAAAACAAAACAAAACAAAAACAAAAACAATCTTTAAAAGTCACTATTATAGGTTAAGCCTATACCCATACATAAACTATGATGTTTAATTTTTTTGGGGGGGGGGTCCGGTCGTGGGGCCTGAACTCTGGGCCTGGGCGCTGTCCCTCAGCTCTTCAGCTCAAGGCTAGCGCTCAACCACTTGAGCTACAGCGCCACTTCCGGCTTTTTTCTTTTTGCTTATGTGGTGCTGCGGAATCGAACCCAGGGCCTCAGGCATGCAAGGCAAGCGCTCTACCACTGAGCCACCTTCCCAGCCCCGATGTTTAATTTTTAAACCATAACCTTCTGGTATTATCTAGTTGTTGACTGAATTATAAACATAAATCCATGTATATATTGCTCATCAAGGGCTAGAACTTCTCTAATGGCATAATCTTATTCAGTTCTTATAAAAACCACCAGATAATGGGAGTAGTTAACATTGGCAAAGAATTCACTATGTTTACATGGCCTAATCACTTGATATGCATTATCTTAAAGTGTGGAAAGTATGTAACTCCTTACAAAAACCCTTTGCTACAGGTTTTGTTATTATCACCCCCATTTTGCAGATAAGAAAAATGGAGGCAATGAGACCATAGGAATACACTTGAGGTCTGACAAAGCAGACCTCTAAACCCCATGCCTGAAACCTGGTGGAGGGTATGAGCCCTTAATCTCTCTGCTATGGAGCCTATTGTGAATGGCTTCCCAAGCCCATTGATCCTGCATAGTAAAGACATGCTATTTAGGGGCTGCGAGTATAGCCTAGTGGCAGAGTGCTTGCCTAACATGCATGAAGCCCTGGGTTCAATTCCTCAGTACCACATAAACAGAAAAAGCCAGGAGAGGTGCTGTGGCTCAAGTGTTAGAGTGTTAGCCTTGAACAAAAAGAAGCTTAGGGACAGTGCCCAGGCCCTGAATTCAAGAGCCAGGACTGGCAAAAAAAAAAAAATGCTATTTACATTGCACTGCACTAATGAGCCTGTCTCTGACAGCTGCTGAGTGGGATGGACAGTTTTCTTCTCTAGCTGCTCCTCTGATGTCGGCGTTGACACTGTGATTGGCAGAGCCTGGTGTTCTGGAGTAGAGTCACCATCTGGCAGTATACCAAGAAGAGCTAGAGTTTTAAGACCTACAATGGAAGAGAATGATTAAAGTTTATATCTCTAGAATGCAGAAAGAAAATTATATCATATATATGATATGATATATACACACATATAAATGCCATGGAATATTACACAATCATAACAAAAAGTGAAATAATGTAATTTACAGGATAATGGATGTAATTGGAGAACATCAAACTGAGCAAGATAAGACAAGCTCAAAAAACAAGTATATGTTTTCACTTATATGTGGAAGCTAGACCTAAAAGATACACATTTTCATGGACATGTACATACTTATATATCTAGTTATATAACTATACACAAAGATAAACACAAAACATGAATCTAAATAACAAGATTACTTAGAAAGGGATAGAAAGGGGGAAAGAAAAAAAGGAAAGCAGAGTGTGAATAGTTTTGAAATACATTTTGAAAGGGGATGAAAATGCTTGAAAAAGATTTCAACTACTAAAATAGAACAAGGAAATCTGTTCCAATTGTTTCAGAAAAAGGGGAAGAGCAAATGATAAAGGGATGAGATTGACTGGAACACACTGTAAATGTGTGGAAAGGTTATAATGAAATACTCCTCTGGATAATATAAGCTAATAAAAATGGTAAAAAAGTTAGCTCCAATAAGCACCATAAATCACTATGCCATATACAGAGATAGCAAAGGGCTACATTAACCATAGCCAGAAGTGTTCAGTAGTAACATCCCTTGTCATCTACATCCATTCAGTTATTACTGTGGATGATAAAAACCGAACAGAAAAGGGTACCTGAACTTTATTAAAAACAGAGCACAAAAGACACCTAAAAGAAAGCCAACATTGGTGACTCATGCCTATAATCCCAGCTAGTCAGGAGTCTTTGATCTGAGAGTCATGATTCGAAGCAAGCCCAGTTAAAAGTCTATGAACCTCTTATTTCCAATTAACCACTAAAAAAGCCAGGAGTGGAATTATAGCTCAGGTAGTAGAGTGCTCACCTTGAGCACCTAAGGCCCTGAATTCAAGCCACAGGACTGGTAAAACAAAACAAAATCAAACCACATAGACTATTTTGAAACTATAAACAATGTACTTCTATGGTAGCATTACACACTAGCATTCTAAATACCACTGGCAGACAGATCCTTCTCTTACTATTTTTTATTAAGTAGCTATACACAAGGGTTTCAACTTGTTTTTCTTTTCTTTTGGTCCTGTGTCAAAAGAAAACATCAGACTGGCATTCAACATGTGATTCTCTTGCCTCTCAGCCTCTGGGATGTTGGGATTACAGATGTGCAACACCAAAGCCTGCCAAATTACTTTATAGCTTTTATCTGGCATATGGAAATAGATTTGCCCTCTAGGTTAACAATATATATCTGGTTTTCCTAAGCAAAGTTACGAACATTCAACTACTAAATATTCTATCCACAGACTTCAAGAACTCTACTTATTATTTTGTAACAGCATGTAAACATTTTAAGAAACTAAATGTTACTTTATACCAATAGTTCTCTCAACTGAGCTTGAGACTTAAATTCCAGCCTGGGGTGAATCCCTCTTGTAGGCCACAAGACTCTGCTGCTTCTGAGCCTAGCATCGTCTTTCACTGATGCCTGGGCTTTGCCTCCACCACTAGCTGGGGTGTGGTCTGTGCATGAGGAACAGTCACCTTTGCCCTGGTGAGCCTTCATCAGACAGTCCCCGACCAGCTGCATGCACTGGCTCCGAAGGATGGCGGCACTGCTGCGGGCCTGAGGACCCAGTTTCTCCCCATCCATGTCCTCTGTGCTGGTCACATGGGCACTATAGAGAGCCAAGGCAGCAAAGAGCAGCCAGGAGTAGTTGTGGATATATGGCTGGATGAGCCTCTGGCGGTCACTGATCCGGATGGTCACCATGGGGTGGGCTGTGATGCTATGGGTAGGCAAATGGCTGCAAAGGTAAGACATTATTATGCATTTGTGACTCCAAACAGGAGCCCAGGCTTGGCTGTGACTTAACATTAATATTTCTAGATTATTGGTATTGAAATTTTAAGGGGAGATACAGGTTTGCACCTCAGAAAAAAAGAACCAAGACTATCATACAATTTCTGGATTTTACAACCCCCTAAAAAACTGCCTGTGGAAATCAGGCTAAGTAAAAACTCCTTATTGTGAATTTTGCAGATGTGGAAATAGTGTTTTGGTAATATGAGATAATGCTCATAACTTAGAGGTAAATATAAAGTACACAGCAAAAAATGATGTAAGATATTCAATTTGTTTAAAATCCTTTAACAAGCTGGGTGTAGCAGCATAAGCTTGTAATCCCAGCACATGGGAGACTAGGGTGAAAGGATTATGTTCTTGGAAGGCTCAAGCGGGAGGATTGTTAGTTCAAGGTTGGACTGAGCAACATGAGACCTTCTCTTAAAAAAACAAAGCAAAACAAAAAAAAACTTTATGGGGGAAAAAGACTCAAATAAACTTAAGAACATATAACAAAATCTTCCTAATTGCTGAATCTGGGTAGTGGGTATATAAAGGTTCACTACAGTGAACTAGTCTCTCTAGTTTTGGCTAGGTTTAAATTTTTTTTTAATAACAAAAACTTCCTTTAATAAAGGGAGGGCTTAATGTATAACTAAGTGGTAGAATACATGTGTAGCATGTGAGGTCCTGGGTTTGATTCTCATCACTGGGGAAAAAAAAGAAATTACAGAGCTTATTTTTTTTTAATTAAAAAAAATTTTTTTGCAATATTTGGTATTTGAACCCAGGCCTTCATGCTTGCTGAACTCTTCCATTTGAGCCATATCCCCAGATCTCTTTTCTTTAGTTTTTCTCACATCTTTTGCTAGAGGTGGGCCTCATACTGTGATCTTCCTACCTAAAAGCCTCTTACATAACTGTGATCACAGATGTGTACCATGATACCTAGCTTATTGTTGGAGATGGAATCTCATTGGCTTTTTGCCTGAGTTAGCCTCAAATCATGATCCTCTTGATCTGTCTCCTGAGTAAATGGGACTATAGACCGCATGTGACCATGCGTGGCCTAATACTAAAGTTCGTATCATTTGTTGGTTCTTGCCTCTTGAAAACAGGGACGTTCTTTTTGGTTCACTATTCTATCTTCTAGCTCCTTGTCCTAAGCCTGGTATACAGAAGATATTAGATGAATAGTTGTATCAATGAATGATTCAGGATTTGTATTGCAGGAGTCAATGTCCCTGGCTATTCTCTAATTTGTGAGACTCTGGTCTGAGGCCTGCTTCCTCCAAATTCCAGGCGTCTGGAAGAAGTATGGGGCAGCTTTGATCATATTTGCATGTTAAACACAATTTCCCACTAGCAACTGGTGCAGTTGGGGTACGTGGATTATAGGAGACCTCAGAAAAAGTGAACTGACAGTGGAGGCCAGAACTTGGCTTTTTAAAAAAATCTACTGCATGTGCGTGCGTGCGTGCATGTGTGCGTGAGTGTGCACATATGTGTGCTGGTCATGGGGTTTGAATTCAGGGCCTGGGCTTGCTTTCTTTTCTTTTCCTTCCTTGCTTCCTTCCTTGATTTCTTCTTTCCTTGCTTCCTTCCTCGCTTCCTTCCTTGATTTCTTCCTTCCTTCCTTCCTTGCTTCCTTTTCTTTTCGTTCGCCATGGGGCTTGAACTACGGGCCTGGGGCACTGTCTCTGAGCTCCTTTTGCTCAAGGCTAGTCCTCTATCACTTGAGCCACAGCACCACTTCTGGCTTTTTCTTGAGTAATTGAGGTAAGAGTCTCATGGACTTTCCTGCCTGGGCTGGCTTTGAACCATGATCTTCAGATCTCATCCTCCTTCAGTAGCTAGGATTGTAGTTGTGAGCCACCAGCACCGGCATAGGCCTGGGCTTTTTTGCTCAAAGCTAGTACTCTACCACTTGAGCCACAGTTCTAGTTTTTTTGAATTAAGAGTCTTATGGACTTTCCTGCCAGGTCTGGCTTCTAACCATGATCCTCAGATCTCAGCCTCCAGAGTAGTTAGGATTATAGGCATGAGCCACTGGTGCCTGAACAGCAGGCTTCTTATTAAGCAAAGATACACATCAAGAAGATGTGAAGTGTGTACAAGTCATCTGAGACATACCCATAGGAATATTTCTTTGCTGCATAGCATCCATAACAAAGATCAAAGTCATCACACACATTGCAGTTCATTCTTCGGCCTATGATCAAACCCTGGCAGTGGTCACAGGTAAACTCCATGTTGACCATTTCATGGTCATCTCCATGGCCTTCAGGCTTCACTCCACCTAGACAGAAAAGAGCATGTGAAGTAGATGGAACAGAGTGCTTGGAGAAGGGTCAAAAAAACCAACCCAAGCACTACAGCTGCTTCCCATCTATTGTTCAGGAGGGCAGAGTCCACACACATCTTCTGGAGACCAGTTAGCTCTGTCCTGATAACTGAATGCACAAATGATATTTTCATGAAATGATAACCCCTCTGTATAACAACTTAATAATAACAATAAAATTATTAAAAAATTATATTCTCAGTACAGAGCTGCTGGACAATGGCATACTGCAAAAATCAATTCCTAGCACGATTGCTGTTTGGCAGACACAAGCCCACAGGTAGATTTGTGAGATTTCTCCCATGACCCTCTTTTGACAAGAGTTAGGCATCTGTTGGTGCCTCTGCTAGCAAGCACTGCAGAATGATCAGAAGACAATGTGACCGGTGAATTAAAGGCACGAGACAGGCTGTTCTTGCCTCTTCCTTACTCATGGCATCTCCAACCTGATTTGAACTTTGCTTTATATGTCATATTTTATTGCCTCTGTTCTCACTACCACGAACCTGGTCCTAACTCCAATGCCTTTGTGACTATAGAGAATGATTTCCTAAGTGAGACTGACACAGACATGCTTTCCTCCTTGAGACCTTGTTAATGACTCCCTCATTTTCTGCAGACTTCAAATGACTAAACCTGCCTGTCTTAATCCATCAATTAGTTGGACAGTCACTCAAGTGTGTCTATCTAAATTCCTTCTAGATGCTCACCTCTGTCCTTGGGCTTGTTCTACCTTGTGTAGCATTTAGTTCATAACACCTGACTGTAACTTTCTTCAAAAACCAGTTCTTATCCCATCTCCTCCACGACAGGAATAGTATAGAAGTGCTGCTATACTGCCAAATTTTTCTAGAAAAAGTCTGCACTATTTATTTATTACTCAACACATCACTCTTATACTAACAGTACTTCAGGGCAGGGGCTGTATCTTTTACTATAGGGCCAACAGACAAGAAGCCCCAGTGTTTACCATGGTCAGTGTACTTTGTTCAGTACATACAAGTCAAATGTACTAAAGAATTTTTGAAGTTTACATATACATACATATATGTGTGTATGTATATTTTTTATTTGAAGTCAATAAATTTTTATTTAATCATTTTTACATGCTGTGACTTCTTCACTGCCCATCAAACTGAAGCTCAAGATTTCTCTTGAAATCTAAGGCAGCCCTTTTTGAAGCAAACAATTCAAGCCAGCCGTACCACTGCTCAGGAGGCCAAAATCTAGTCGCTATGTTCAAATGACCAACAAAAAACTGAAACTCTGATCAGCCCTGCCACAAATCTTTTATTAGGGCTTCTTTTAGCGCTATTACAGAATTACTGATGACACATCTAAAATCTTTGAAATGTCATTCTGCAAGCAAATTTTGAGATAACTTTTTAAGTCCAACAGCTTGATTCAACTGCTGACTGCCCACCTAGAGAAAGAAAAGCATTTACTGAGAAGATCATTTATTCTAGGTATTATCAATATGAATTGTCAAACTGTATATATTGTATCAATAGAAATACCAGGTTTACCATGGACAAAGCCAAGAAAACCAACGATGCCAGATATTGAATTTCTATTGCACTGTCCTTTGAACACATCAGCAGGAGGTATTGCTGAATGCAGATACCATACAGTGCAGTGTGTGTGTGTGTGTGTGTGTGTATGTAAAGTGAGGTTTTGAACTCTGGGCCTGGGCACTCTCCCTGAGCCTCTCTGTGCTCAAAACTAGCCTTCTACCGCTTGAGCCACAGCACCACTTCCAGCTTTTTCTGTTTATGTGGTACTGAGGAATCGAACCCAGGGCTTCATGCTTGAGAGGCAAGCACTCTATCCTTACGCCACATTCCCAGCCCCAATGAGAAGTTTTTAAATGGCAAGATCACATAAGATAAAAACAATTATTACTATTGAGTATGGCATACTCAAGTCTATGAAGTTTACCTAGGAAGCAAGTTTTGCAGAGATCCATGTCACTGCATTGAAGACACCGGTAGCGGTGCCAGGGAGCAATCTCATCACATCCATCACAAGAGATGTCCACATTTAGCAGGTCACAGTAACGAGCAATGAACATGTGCATCTGTAAGTTGAAATGAACATGATTAAACAAGTTTCTTATGTGGTACATCAATTCACTTAAGAGATACTTAAGTTTTCTAGGCACATCGGATGCTCTGGCTTACACCTACAACTTCAGATACTGAGATGGTGAGGATTGGAAGGATCACAATTCAAGGCCAGACAAAAAGTTAGCAAGACATCATCTCAACAAAACAGCTGGGTATGGTGGTGGCACCTGTCATCCCAGATACTCAGGAGTCTTAGATAGGTAGATTATAGCCCAGGCTGGACTGGGCCTCCTCCCTTGTCTCTCCTTCCCCTGTCCCCTCCCCCCCAAAGCAAGACTGCTTGAAAAATAACTGAAATAGAAAAGGCTGAAAAAAAATCTAGGCATACTCTACTAGGTGATAGTAGCTAAGATTTGTAGCCAAACAAATTAAGTGTCTATCTGGGAATTCCCTCAAAAAAAGCAAATTGTGAACATAGTGTTATAAGTGCTTTGGTAGGCAAATTTAGGGAACTTAGCAGCACAAGGTGCTATCCATAGTATTGGAAAGGTCGAGAAAAGTTTTTCCCTCAACTAAGACCAAGGGACAAATAGATTGTGTGTGGGTAAATGTGACAGGTGTATCAGATAGAAGGAGTAGCACAGCTCTGACAGAAAGGGAACAAACAAGGGTTTATGGTGTCATGTAGTAAGTAGAATTCAGTCCAGAGTGGAAATAATCAGATGTAGTTAGAAAGGCTAAGCCAGTGAGGTGTCAAACACTAGTCTAAGGAATTACTAATTTTTTGGTTGGTTGTGGGGTTTGAACTCTGGGCCTGGGCACTGTCACTCAGCATTTCAGCTCAAGGCTAAGGCAGAAGTGGCGCTGTGGCTCAAATGGTAGAGCTACCATTTGAGCCACAGCGCCACTTCTGCCTTTTTCTGTTTGTGTGATGCTGAAGAATCAAACACATGGCCTCATGCATGCGAGGCAAGCACTCAACCACTGAGCCACGTTCCTAGCCCCAGAAATTACTAATTTTTTAAACAGGAGAGTAATAGGAGTAGATTTAGTGTTCTCAAGGTTCCTGGCTGAGAAGAGGCTGAAAGGAACAAGACAGGAGTTAGGGAGACTAACGGTGACAATGTTGGCTCTAAGGGTGGAATTGCATGCAGGTGGGACAGAGCTGACTTAAGAGGTACTAAGGAGGCAGAATGGGTAGTGCTGGTGACTGATTTACTTGGTATGGGGGTAAAGGACAAGCAAGAACAGAATTTAAATGTTTGGTCTAGGTACTTAGTTGGACAATGGCAGTGCATACAGACACAGAAATATTGCAAGAACACTCCTTCCTGATACTTAAAAATGAACCAAGTATGGTGCCATATGCCTAAGCTTGGGTTTCATAATGAGATTCTGTCTCAACTTTCTCATACTCCCCCTTCCTAGAAAACAAAGAAAAAAATGAACAAAATCCAGAAATAAATCCTTCCTATGGAAACAGTAAAAGCAGTGTTTCATGATCAAGCAATTGTTACCTAAATGCACTTAGAGACTATAATACATTCTTTCGAGACTATAAATAAGAATGGAAAATATGTAGAAGAAATCTCCCATGATACCTGAGCACTATAAAATGGTTTCTAATCAGATACTAATAAGGCTCAGCTGGTATGCTCTAACCAAGCACCACAGAGTGCTATATAAACAAACAAAAAATATATATAAAGTATATGTGAAGGTGGCATACAGTAGGTATTCAATACAGAGAAAAATGAATGGCTATGAGGCAGCAGATGTCTGACACTTATGCTAGTGACAGATATAATATCGCATGTAAGATGACAGGCAGCTGCCTGAGCCCAGTGCTTTTTCTCATCTGAATCATCTAACTTTGATTTAGTATGTTTAGTGTAGGCTTCTAACTGGAATGTGGCTTCTGTAATACTCATCTACAGGAATAGAATGGTCTGCCCAAAGGATACTAAGCATTCAAGCCATTCAGCAATTGCATATGCTTAAGTCTCTTACACATTACTACTAGTGTGTAACCTGCACAAAGGGGACTGTTATTATACATCAGCCTTGTAAGCCACTCTTCTGCAAGTCCAGCTCTATGGAGGAAGCCACTCTGATGGGTCATATCAAGATGTAGAGCTCCTCAGGTTAATCTCAGAAATGCGATCCTTAATGTCCCCTCCAGGAGCTCTCTCTGGAGACAGCATGCTGGCACACTCCAGGCATATTCTCCTTTCCAAACTCCTTGCAAGCCACCCAGATTACTCTAGTTGAGAGGTCTTACTTTCCTCTGCTTCTCTGGATCCTCCTGAGCTATTTTTTCATACCAGGCCTCAAACATGCCATCCTGACACTCATCCATCCATTCTGAATTCTGCTTGGCATCAGCAAGCTCATCCTCTTCATTCCACTGGCTGAAAAGACATAACAAGAGAAAAGCATGCCTCTCCTGGTACCCAATGAAAGTGCTAGTTAGCGGACCTTGTGTTCCACAAGTCTAACAGATTGAGTATTTTTAGTTACTTTTTATTTTTCTAAATAAGAAAATTTACTATATTTCATAACTTTTAACAACTTAAAAACAAATATTTCATGTCTAAAGGACAGCTAACCATTTTATAAATCATCCAATTAATTTTATTAGCATACATTAGATTACAAGGGGGGTTTTATTGTGACATTTCCCACATGCATATAGTGTATCCTGATCTTCTTTACCACCTCCATCTCTCTCCATCATCCCATTCCCTACCTCTTAAAAACATTCCGTCAGATTTTATCATTCTGTCTTTATTTGCTGCGCTTCAAGCCCTCCCCACTCCTACTTATTTGCCTTCCTTCTCAACAGAGACTGTAGATTGAACTTCTGAAGGAAAAAGGCCAATTGTTTTTTAAAATACAGGATTTAGTTAGCTATTTGATGGCTGTACACCAATAAAAGAGGGAGAAATCTAGAGTACACTATACTGGGTGGGATAAACCTACTATAAGCCATGTAGTAGGGTCAAATACAATGATTTAAAAAAGTTTTGGTGGGGATGCTCAGAACATCGTAATGGAATCAGCTTGACAGAGAAGATCCCGAGACTTCATATTTACCACGACAAGCTATATGACTTGTCCAGAAGTTCTATACTGTTGGATTCAATCATCAGATCAAAAACATTCAAAAACAACTGTATCTATATTGAACATGTGCAGATTTTCTTGTCATCATTCCCTAAATAATAAAGTATAACAGTAACCTAGAGATGATTTAAAGTATACAGGATTTAAAGTATGTGTAGATTACATTCAAATATTAATATGTAAGGGACTTGAGCATCGTCAGGTTTTAGTATCTGTGAAAGTGCCTGGAACCAAGCACCCAAGGCACAACTATACTTGGATTTGTCCCTGTTCCCTCATTTCAAATAAAAGGTTCATATAAGTTCCTCTTAGATGTAAAATTATAAATTTCCATAATTTATGCTTAGTGTGTTTTAGCAACCAAAATCCCAAACACAAAAATATTTACTTAATAGCAAATGCAAAATATTTTTCAACAACTGGTCTGGGAAGGTGGCTCAGTGGTAGAATGCTTGCCTTCCATGCATGAGGCCCTGGATTTGATTCCTCAGCACAACATAAGCAGAAAAAGCTGGAAGTGGCGCTGTGGTTCAAGTTGTAGAGTGCTAGCCTTGAGCTGAAGAGCTCAGGGACAGTGCCCAGACACAGAGTTCAGGCCCATGACTGACAGAAAAAAAAAATTCCAACAAAAAAATACACACTCATTCATGTATTCCAACAAAATGAATTTGGTCTACTTTTCTAAGCTCTGGGCTAGTATGCTATGAGGAATGGTGTGAACATTCTGTCCCACTAGAGGACTACATCATGCAGGTGCAGACAAGAATTGAAATGATGGGCAAACTGACCAGCATGGTGATGGCTGCCCAGTGTTGCATCCTTTCTCTGACATCAGTGCGATCTGACATCAGGACAATGGCTGAAGGCAGTTAATAAGGAGACAGCTTTAATTTTAAACACATTCCCATTGCACAACGGAATGAGAAAAAAAAAAACTTCTTATAATCCAAGTCCTTATAATGTAGATTACAGTAGCTAACACTACATAGAGGTATAACAAAAAATATAGAAAAGGGTTCTCTCAATTAACAAGGTATAGTAGGATCTCCAAAAATACAGAGGAGCTCTCTGAGTTCAGAGCACCATTGCTAACAACTTACATAGCACCACTACATGCCAGACACCATTTTAAACACTCAGAAATATAACTCACGCATTCTTGATGACAAGCCTTGGGTGCAGGTACCATTATTATCTCAGCTCTAAAGAAGAGGCAACTAAGGTACAAAGCAATTGGGTAACATGTTAACAGTCACCCAGTTTCTGAGTGGCAAAGCCAAGATGTATCACTCATACCCTAATCCAACTCCAGAGTCTATGCCCTCACTCCCATTGTGTCAATGATTCCTGTCTTTCATTTCTTACTCCAGGAACTTCAGAGTGTAGGGTTGTTTTCTTACCTGATCATACTATCGTGGACACTGATATTTTCTTGTGACATTTTCATTAGGAGATCTGGTAACTGAATATCAACAAAGAAGGCAAGATCACAAGGTTCACAGCCCATATCCAAAAGATGAAGTAGGGCTGTCTGAATGCACAATAAGGCAGGCAACAAAGATCTAAAGAGGCCACACAAATGACAGTTATCAAAGCTGCCCATTACCAAAAGACAACAGGGTGACTGCAAAGTGGCCAACAGTTTGTAATGGGAAAGCACAAAATCTCTTATCTCAAACAAATATCCTACAAAAAGAACTGTGAAATAACCAGGCTGTGCTCTACCACTTGAGCCACAGCACCGCTTCTAATTTTCTGGTGGTTTATTGGAGGTAAGTCTCACAGATTTTCTTGCTTGGGCTGGTTTTGAACTGCGAACTGCGATCCTTAGATCTTAGCCTCCTGAGTAGCTAGGATTATAGGCATGAACAACCAGTGCCTGGCACATTATAAATTCTTAGACCTATCCCTGATGAACACATGAGATGGAAAAAAAATTAAGAGGAATCATACTAATAAGGCAACATTAGTGATTAGCTTAGAGAGTAGAGGGTAATTTTATTCTTTGTGCTTTTCAGTATTTTTAGCACAGAACGTGAATTCCATTTATAACCAGAAAAAAATCTTTTTTTCTCAAGAAATTTACAAAGTAATCCAGTATCTCTTTTATGTTACTAAATCCTTTGTTTTGACCAAAAAGAGAACAAGTTGATAGTAAGTATCTCGAATTTCTTTGTGTAGGTCAGCACCACAGCCTTCCAAGTGTCCAAAATAACTAGAAATAGAGAAAATCATCAACTTAATTGCTAGGACAACTTTAACTAAATAATCCTGTTCCTTACATGAAAGACTGAAGAAACAGCAAGCTAAACAAAGTTGCACACAAGCTTAAGGGAAAGCAAGTACAATGACTTTAGATGGTGAACAAACCAACTGGTAGGTCCAATGGGTGAGCCAAAAGAGATGTTCAGGAAAAGTAGGGAGATGAAAACTATTCATCTTTCTTAGTTACATAGCCCTACCACATACTACTTGAGGGCCAGATACTGGGTGACTTATTTTTCACAAATTGCTTCATTTAGCCTCTGCACCTGCCATTCTGTCTCCCTTCACTGACTTTAGTAATAAACTCACTGGATTTTCTACTTGGATCAGTAACCTTGGTGACTTGAATATCCATGGGAATCATGCCTCTGTTTCTTTTTTTGGGGGGGGTCTGGTTGTGGGGCCTGAACTCTGGGATTGGGCGCTGTCTCTCAGCTCTTCAGCTCAAGGCTAGCACTCTACCACTTGAACCATAGCACCACTTCCGGCTTTTTTTATTTTTGCTTATTTTATATTCTGCTGAGGAATCGAACCCAGGGCCTCATGCATGCAAGGCAAGCGCTCTACCACTGTGCTACCTTCCCAGCCCCCTCTGTTTCTTTTTCTTTCAATTCTCTGTTATTTTCACTGCTGAGAATCTTCTCGTGTATCCTTTAGTCATCTCAGTTTGATGATCATTTCCTTGGCCTTGTCTTCAAGCAATAGCTACTTCATAGCATGCTACTCTGCCTACTGACTCTCATCCCACTCTTCTACTAAATATTCCCACACAACCTTTTCATTCAATCCTAATGAACCCCAGCTTATGAGGCCACATCATATTTGTCATCTACTACTCCTACCATGCTTGCTTTCTCTCTGCTCCAATCTCACATTAGACTCCATAGCTTATCACCACCCTCAGACTTGAGAAAACATCAGTTCTATGGCCTCTTTCTATAAACATCTTGCCTAAGGAATTTTATACCTGTATCAAAACAGTTGAGTGTTGCTGGAGCAAATACCATATAACCAAGCTAACTAGTGTCAATTTAAATTCACAGCCACAATTCTTTTTATTTTTTGCCAGTTGTGGGGCTTGAACTCAGGGACTGGGCTCTTTTGTTCTGAGCTCTTTTGTTCAAGGGTAGTACTCTACACCACTTTGAGCTACAGCACCAATTCCAGGTTTTGAGTGGTTAATTGGTTATAAGAGTCTCAAGCTGGGTCCGAACCATGATCCTCAGATCTCAACCTTCTGAGTAGTTAGGATTATAGGTGTGAGCCATCAGAGCCCAGCTTTACAGCCACAATCCTTAGAGAAGCACTTGAACAGCCAGGCAATTAAAAATGGCTTTCTCAATTCTTTTTTTTTCTTTAACCCCAGAACTGGGGTTTGAACTGAGGGTTTTCCATTTACAAACAAGTGCTGCTCTACCATTTGAGCCATGCCCCCAACCCAACTTTCATTACTATCTAAAATGTACTTGTCTCTCCTTAAATGGCCATTATCTTCTTCTCAACCTCTATTTTCACATTTTAACTTGAGAAAAAAAAGCTGGGGGTAGGATTTATGCCTGTCCCAGCTATTTAGGAAGCATCAATCAAGCAGATCATGATTTGAGGCCAACCAGGGCAAGAAAGTTTATGAGACTACATCTTCACCAATAAAGCGTAGCCTGGGGAAGAGTGTCTGTCATTTTAGCTACACAGGAGGCATAAATGGGAGGACTTTAATCCAGGCTAGCCAGGAAAAAAACATGAGACACTATCTGAAAAATAACTAAAGCAAAAACTCATTGGTGTGTAGCTCAAGAGGTACAGTATTCTTCTACCAAGCAGGAGACCTCTGAGTTCAACCACTAAAATAAAAAATTTATATAGAAATTTACTCATTTTTGTACTTAATCTTCTTGCATATACATTGCATTGTATGAAAAGTTAAAAGGCCATCCTCTCTAACTGATACAAGTTGCTGCTGCAAACTGTCTTATTAGCTCCTAAATCCAGTTTGCAGCCCTTACTAATTTCTATCAGCATTCAAAAGCACTCCTAAAGCACTCAGTGTTGGTTATATAGATCATGTTAGAGCATGTACTTAGTGAGTAAGGCCTTGGGTTCGATAATGTAATATGGAAGAACTAAAGCAAAAACCCTCCTGCTCCATATGCCTTATAATGCTATATTTCTCTGCTCTCCTTTTAGGCCAAATTTCTTGAATTAGTTGCAGTATCTCTGTTTTATCATCCCCACTTTTTTAAACCAATTCCAAGGGGACTTTGACCTCACAGCTCTATTAAGCAGTGCTATATCCAGTGTTTTTATTCTTCCCAACTCTCTCATCGGTACTCAACTGGCCATTTTTGTCTTTTTTTTTGGTCATGGGGTTTGAACTCTGGGCCTAGGTGCTATCCCTCAGCTCTTCAATTCAAGGCTAGCACTCTACCAACTTGAGCCACAGCGCCACTTCCGGTTTTCTGGTGGTAAGTCTTTCTGGAGATAAGTCTGCCAGACTTTCCTGCCTGGGCTGGATGTAAACTGCAATCCTCAGATCTCAGCCTCCTATGTAGCTAGGACTACAGGTGTGAGCCAATGACGCCTGGCTGTTTTGTTTCTTTCCTTTTTTGTCTTTTGAGTTACAACCTTCTATTAGATTCTATATCCCCTCTTTCACTGAGGTCCTCCATCTATTTCTAGGGCCAGTCCCTCTTGATCACATTAGGTGACTCATTCCGCTGTTTGACTTCTAAATGAGGCCAGCATGGAAGGCTCAGTCCTGGCCTCTGCTTATCGATTTGCACTCTTTCTAGGTATCATCTATTCTCATGGCTTTTAGTGTGTGCAAGTCCTGGGTCTTAAACTGGTCCTGGATGCTGTCTCAGAGCGAGTTTGCTCAAGGCTAGCATTTACCACTTAAGCCACAACTCTACTTCCAGGTTTTTGGTAGTTAACTGGAGGTCTCACATATTTTCCTGACTGAGTTGGCTTTAGTGATTTTCATATCTCAGCCTCCTGAGTAGTTAAGATTATAGGTGTGAGCCACTGGTGCCTGACTTAAAATGCAGATTAAACAAATAGATTATATGTTTATGGCAATCATAAGACCTGACTTCTACATTGAGTCCTGAGTTTTTCCCAGAACCTTAGATTCTGATCTATTTTCTTAGTATCTTTATTTGGTGAGCCAAGAAGCAGTTCAAACAATATGGGCAAAAATAAAACAACAGCAGGGTGCCAATGGCTTGTGCCCGGTAATCCTAACTACTCAGGAGTCAGATCTGAGGATCACAGTTTGAAGCCAGCCTGGGTAGAACAGTCCCTGTGAAACTCTTACCTCCAATTAACCACACAAAAACTGGAAGTGACACTGTGGCTCAAAGTGGTAGAATGTTAGCCTTGAGAAAAAGAGCTCAGGGCTAGTGCCCAGGCCTTGAGTTCAAGCCCTATAACCGACAACAATAAAAATACGTAAAACAATGTTTGTCCTAATCTGTTTCTTCCATACCCTTTCTTTTCCTCAGTAAAGTATATCACTGTCTACCTCAGTGCTCCAGCTCCAATCCTAGGAGTTTCTTTTCTTTTCTTTTTTTTTTTT